GTGGTTTATTTACATGTTGGAAATGAAACACTAGAGGAAATAAAGTATCATGAAATACAGTTACGCTGAACTCGATGAAGTCCGTCCAAATGATGTAAGATTTTAAAATAAAAGTCAAAGTGTCGAGAAGCACACACGACAAGTCAAATCGGGCCGAATATTCAAAATTTAAATTATTATCTGCAAACGCTCCATGTAGTATGACCAGCGAGCAATTTTTTTAATTTTTAAACTCATCCGGGACCTAAAATTGCTTCATACATTCGACTATCTTAAGCCACGAACATAGCCGAGTTATGAGCTTTCTAGACCTTTTCCTCACAGAGTGTTCTTCGGATAGGGAAGAATAATCACGAAAGTTTTCAAGAATTGAAGTTGAGTAATTTCCTATTTAGAGAGTAAAGTATGACAGAAAGTCTTAGTTTTTTGCCAAAAATTAAGTATAGCACTTTGCAATGGAACTTTCTGTGAGTTTTCTTAAGATGCTGAAGAATATCTTCTCAGAACTTCAAGTAAAAATGTTGCTTCGTCTTCTGTCAAAAATCAAAAATGAAAGGAATGAAATTCACGCATGAAATCTAATGTGTAGCCACGCTGATTCTGGTGGAATACGTTCACCAAAATCAACCTGTCTGTATTACTTTACATTGCTAGTATCCTTGTGTGTTTTATTCCTTACAGTAAAAACTGAACAACATAATGGAGAATTTGCAAGGGTCTGAAATTTGATGAATTTCCTGTTTAAGTGGAATCCTCTGAGTGAACTGAACACGAAGATACCCTTGATTCAAAAATTGAGCGATTATTAGAGGAGATATGACAAAATAACCGATTCTGCTAAAATACATGTGTTTAAATGGGAAATGCCGCCAGATGACGTCACAAGGCGGCGCATTTTCTCACTTTTAAATCAATTTTTCTCCAATTTCCCATGTCAGAAAAAAATTATGAAAAATATTGCGAACTCAGCTCATTAGGCATTTTCAGATGAAGCAATAAAAAAATTGCGTGCAAATTCTCCATTCCTTTAAACTTTCTGTAAAATTTCCCTCAAACTCGGAAAATACTTGCCCACACCAAATTATTCTTCTCTCCTTCTTCTACATACGACTAGGGCATAGCCGTGTTTGTCACGCCATCCAGTACCGAGCACAATAATTTATATGAATATTAAAAATGTAAAAATTACTAAAAATAGAGGAATCACACCATTTCAACCACTAAAAATGAAGAACACGCACCAAATTCAAGGTAAAATAATCTCTTAGGTTGTTTATTTTTATCAGGGTTCATGTTTATATTTTTTATAAAAAAAAGTTACCTTTTTCCCCTGATGTCCTGGTTGTAGTGTTCGAAAATCAGAGGCGCCAACGCGCCAAATGCGCCTAAGAAATGAAGGCTCTGCTCCAACGTGGCCCCTACAAAGTGCCCCCTAAAAATCTGAATTTTTATATTGGGTGATTATTCGAAATTTTCAGCACTACAAGTGAAAGCGTTTTCTATTCTTCACGATTTCATCCTTTGTGCTTTTGTCTTCCCCAAGTTACAGCTGCTTACTAGTTCTGTTACTAAAACGTCTTGCGTCCAACTTTTCACTAAATGCGCCGTAATGTATGGGCAAATAGTCAATATGGCCCCTAAAAAATCTTCAATGGCGCCTAAAAATCGGGCTTGATGCGGCACGTGGCTCCTAAAACTCAAAGGTGAGTTTCGAACACTGCCTGGTTGTGATGTTTGTTTTGTTCAAGGTAGAATGTTTCTCAGTGTTTAGTCAAAAACATACAAAATGGGTAAATTAGGCAACAATGAATGTAGTTAGGCTGATTCTGGTCAATATGGCATCCACGCGGTGTAATTTGATTTGCTCAGCGCAGCGCAGTGCGGCACGCACTCCGCTAGAGCGAGCCACCGCCTCGAAGGCTCGACGCCGCAATCACCCCTCAGTTCGCATCGGGATACCCCTGTATCCACGTTTTGCACCACGCCGCTCCCTCCTGAATCAGCTTCGCGCGCCAAGTTCAAAGGCTAGTGCTCCGAGCTAGTTCCGCTTCACCGAACTCTGCCGGAATCTAATTTTTGTGCGAATTTCACTCGGATTTTGTCGCTCGTCCTCATCGGCAAGTACCATCAGGGCCAATCTTGGTTTCGCTCTTTTAGGCCATGCATTTCTCCTTCTTTTTGATCATCTTCGTTGCTGATTTTGAGGGTTGATTCGTCGAGGTTAGGTTGGGACTCGATTCCTTTGAGTAGGATTTATTTACAGGTAAAATTGTAAAAAAATTAATCACTCTCAGACAGACTTTTTTGACACTTGACTAAGACCATGAAAAAAGTTAAGACACTCGGTTTCCTGGGCAATGCTATGCATTTAACAAACTGATTGACTTCTACTAAAATTTTGCATTTTTTTTTTTTTTTTAAAGTATCAAATCAGAAAAAGCTTTTTTTTACCGTCACCGTTTTAAAGAATCTCAAATTTAGTTCATTTAATTTTTTTCCCTAAAAATGATCTTTTGGGTATCTTCAAAGAATATATAATACGTACATCACACTTTCAACGGTCCCTAAAAAAATCAAAACCAATTAAAGATAATATACGAAATGAAAGGTTTTTGTTCAAACATATTTATGAGAATCTTCTTCCTGCTGCAAAATAGTGAATTTATTTAGAAGGCTTAACATTTTTTAGGTTGGGATCTTCTGGTGAAAATGCTACTTGATTCCACATAATTCTTAAACTGAAGTTATGGTAAAGATATAGACGTAATAAGTTTTTTTTAAATTTTTTCCTCTCGGCTGGATCGCGATTAATTTCAATGAATGTTTCTGTTGGGATTCGAGACATGAAGGAAGCACAAGGATCCAACTTTCATTATATTATATTCATCAATAAAGATGCTCAAATTCGGCATGTGGGTAATCTCACAACCCTTATTGCATGTTTCGTATTTCAGTAATCGTTTTCCAGGATTTGAACATGATTATTTTCCTGAAAAGCCACAACTTTGCCCGAAGCTGTAATAATTAATTTTCTCTAACTGGAGACATCGTCTTCACCAATTACTTCTCAGTTCATTTTACCGACTAATTTTCATATTATTTTACGGAAAAAACATGGTAAATGGACTGATTTAGGACCCAGTTAAATTTCAGAGTCAAGGCACTCGAAGTCCTGGTAGCCTTTGCCATACTTTTGTACAGCATCTAAAACGGTATAGTAATTCTAACGCAGGTCTCTGATTGCTTTCATTGAAAAGTCTTGGGTCAAAAATATTTACATACCATACTTTTTCGCCGTAAAATCCTTTTTCAACAGTGGCATTCTCATCGCCATTTAAATGAGCCTCTCCCCATATCTGTTCTTGAAACATTACTTCTCTGATGTAAGGGCGTATCTCTTTCCCCACAAGCCTCGGGAAGCATAGAATCATACGGGAAACAGGGCTCACGAACTGCTTATAAGGGCAAAGATAACTTGAATAATGAGTGGTCACATTTTTAACGAGAATCAGCTTAACCACATCAACCGTTGTCTAATATTTTCTCATGTTTTATTTTGAACAGCAAATTAAGCAATATTGTGACTTAAAATTTTGAAAACATGTGTTTGTTTTGTTTTTTTTTACAAAAAGAAATAAATGAATATACTACGAGACAAAATTAAGCAATGTGAAACGTAGTGAGGCTATGTATAAGTTAAAACAGTTTAAGTAAGGGCATGAGAACAAACAGGCCGATTGAGTAATAAATTCAAAAAGCTCTTTACCTTCTTTTAAAAAACCAAGGCGCTAAAAGAGCAATCCTTTGGGTCAATTTTTGTTTTAACATTGGTTCGCTCTTTTCACGGATGGAATATCAAAGTGCTAAAAGAGAGACAAAAATAGGCGTGGTGTTGGAGACCGAGGGCAAGGCAAACCTTTGGAGCGTAATCAAGTTATCCCCATCTCACTGTAACTAAGAAGTAAACCTCTCCTACACCTCTCGCTATTTCATTTGTAGTTCTTGGGAAAAAAGTACCAAACTCGCCCCAGATTTAAGTGATGACTTTTTCCTTTCAACGGAGCACTCATACAAATCTTAGGTCTAAAAAGTCATTATTTAGTCATGTTGGATGTTCTGAGCTCCAGTTAACGACTGACAAAGGTTCAATCCATCATAATGGTTGAAAATCTACTCTTTTTTGTCAGACTTTATCCGAGAAGGTTGGTCCAAAGTTTTGCACGACGATTTGCCAGTTTTGCAGTGTTTGTTATTCAGCTAATACGTACACTTTTAGTATTATAACTTTTAATTCTTTGCATCATCATCGTTAACAAGTAGACGTGCTCCACTTGCGCAACCTATATTCGTTTATTTAAAAAATTGACTACTTACCATGACTTAGTCCAGATATATTTTAGTATTCGTGCAAGGTTTTTTTTTATTTTTTTCGCACTAAAATTTGAAGGCATATTATGATGAGTTGTAGGGTAATCATTCTCTTATTAAAATCAATTTTAATCTTGGCCTTGATGAATCGAGTAGGCACTTCAGATGTTCTCCATGCTGAGCGTGTCTTTTGTTTTTGTTAATGCTTCTTAGTTTTTCTTGTACTCACGTGATATACGCTACAAAGCAACAATACATATGAGCAATATTTAGCCTTAACTCGATGATTGTCTTAAGAAAAGATACGTGGGGGATGAAATTGTCTTGGATTTATTATTTAACCATCCTGTTCGATCTCGTGGCTCTACTTGGGCATAACCAAACTCAACCTGAAAACCGTTCACGTTGATTGCATTCCTCTCGTGATTCATTCATTTATGAAATTATTTATTTTCATAAAAAATAATGATTATTCAAAATAAAATAAAAACTGACAATGAGAACATAAAGGAAGCAAAATTCTGACTGATTTGATACCCTTGTAGATCACTGACCTAATTTACTTAAAAACAAATCTCCGCTATCGAAGAAAACAAGCCTTTCATGTTTACGTGAGCTTTCTTTCGCGGTGTACACACTCATATTTTACGAGGAAAAACTTTTTTTTTTCAGTCACGCAGTAAAAAAAATTGTACCCTCGAAATTAACGGACCGCACATCTGCTCCTTGGAAGCTGAGGCCCCGTGTTGCCAGCTCGAAGCGCTAAGCGCGAGAAATTCCCCGAGAAAATAAATCAGGGCGGGGAACTTTGGCATCAGCGCGCAGCTCCAACTCGGGTCTTTTCGACGCGAGAGCTCCTCAAACTTTAACACTCAAATCAGCAACTTAGATGATGGGCGAAATTACGCAGATTAATAAATTGATCCCTCCTCTCGGCCGCTTATTAGCTAAGTAGGATCTTTGCGCGCCGCAGCGGTTTCGCGTAATGATGCCGTGGAAAAACTTGCGGCAGATGTCCCTAAAGTTGGTTCCGTTAAATGTGAAGTGAGACGCTAGCCGCTCGTTATGCGGAGTGCATACAGTTGTTTGATGTTCTTTGGTTTCTGGTGCAGACCGCCCGCTACTCTCTTATAACTGAACCGCCGACGCTTTCAAGGTAAGATTTCCTTGCTACTCTACCGCGCTAAGGCAAAACGTCGTATGAACCGTCGTCAGTTGCCAAATTACCTGGAGCTGTTGCATGTGTGAGGAATTTGCGATTTGACCATTGGTTCTTATGTAAAAGTTCGCGAGAAACACGATGGTGCCACTGGTTTTCTTTAAAATCAACTCCCAAGCTCAAAAAAAGCTCTCAAGTTGAGGGCAAAATGGAGGGGATATCCCACGCTATCCTGAGAGTCCACTTCTACATCAAGACAAACTCTCCATGCAAAGATAGGGAGCAAATACATTGACAGGGCTGCCACTTTATTTGGGCACTCCAAAACTGGAAACACGGCAACCCTGCTAATGTATTTACTCCCTATCTTTGCATGGAGAGTTTGTCTTCATGTAGACGTGGACTCTCAGGGTAGAGTGGGATATCCTCTCCATTTTGGCCTCAACTTGAGAGCTTTTTTGAGCTTGGGAGTTGATTTAAGATAAAACCGGTGGCACCATCGTAATTCTCGCGAACATTTACATAAAAATCAATAGTCAAATCGCAAATTCCTCACACATGCAACATCTCCATTTCCAAGACAACTTGTGAATATTTTTCGTTCAATGTTTCGGAGAATTTTCTTCATAATTAGATCTAAAATATCTGAAAATTTCAATCGAAAATATTTATAACTCTCCTTACAAATGAACATTTCATTGGAGGAAATTTGGCAACTCTCGAATGGACATACGGCATTCTTCCTTAGCATGGCAGTAATTTCCCTCCATCTCTTTGCTGATAGACATGAAGAACGAGGGTCATCGGACTCGATCTTATGTCCTTCCCAGGTAGCAAGGTCTGCTATAAAATAATTTTTATTATATCTTCGAAATAACAGTTTTATTGCTATTAAATGAGAGTTTTAATTCCTATTAATATATTATAAAAAAACAATTTATATCGGTTGAAAAGATCGATTAAAGTACTCCCCAGTTACAACAGTTTCAGGCGCTATATTCCTATTTTATGAAGTTAAAAATAACAGTTTAAAATAATTTAATGACATAAATCAACAATGATTAAAGTAGTGAAAAACAAATTTCATTTGGAAAATTTACTGGTGTAAAGCGACACTTGTCTTAAAATAAAAATAAAAAATTTAAATGTTGAATACGAGTTTTGAATTATTCTTGTAAAGTATTAAAAAAAACTTAAAATATCCATAGAAAAACTAATTTCTAATAATAGAACGACTCGTAAAATTGTAGTTTTATTGAAAATTAACAGTGTCAATATATGAAATTTTATTCGTTTTTAATATTTTGTTAAACTGTTATTTTTTGGTTTTAAAAGATCAATTATAGAACTCCCCAGTTTCAGGCCTCATATTTCTATTTTGAACACCGATGACGGTGAGCACCGATACTTCCTCTAAGGAGGAGCAACAAAGACTATGCAGCAGGGATGTGACTACACTCGACACACCACACTACAATAAACGCTATAGATAGGCCCATGCCCTGTCTAGGCACAGTTAACCACAGGGGGGTCATCAAAAATGTGAGAAGAAAATCCACTCATATGCACCGAACAAAGCAAACATAGAAGCCGTCGATAAAAAAACGTATGTCGTAGAATATAAATAATATATTTTATGTTTTCACTACACACAAAGGTTAGACAGGCACCATAAACGACCCATCCAAAAACAAAATAAATCGGAGCTCTCTATCGGAAATAAAAGGAAACACCCCGATTACAATAAAACAATCGGAAATTAAAATCGGTATTTAAAAAAATAATGTAATACTAATTTATATTTCACAACTGTTTAAAATAAAATGTTTTGCAGAAAAACTGCAATAAATCAGATATTTAAACTGTCATTTTATCACTATCACTTGTATCTTTTTATCGATTTAAATTATATTTTCCTTGTTAGTGATAAATAGTTATCAAAGTTTTTTATAAGGCTTCTTTTTCGACAAAAATTAAAGCTACACCGGTTTTCAGGAAACAATGATTTAAAAATAGTTTCTCACCAATATTGTTTAATAAATAATGTAATAATAATTAATATTTCATGGTTATTTATAAGAATGTGTTTTGCAAAAATATGGCAACAAATGAGATATTTAAATTTGTTTTTTATTGTCTTTTTTTTATCTTTTTATTGATTTAGATTAAATTTTTCTCATTAGTACAGTATAATACTTTATGTTTTGTAAAATAGCTTTTTTAAAACAAAATGGTCTACTTCTGTGTTTTATGAAATCAACTTTAAAAAAAAATAAATTAGAATAATTTTTTTAACTTTTTTTAGTTATTAAAATGTTAATCTACTTTCCTTTCTTTAAAAAAGTTTTGTTAAGTAAGTGATTTTGATTGAGAATTTTAAACCGTCGTTTTATTTCAAATCTAAGTATGTTTTTATTGCAATAATAGTTTCCTTTTCGATCGGTGTATAACACTAGTTAAATTTGTGTTATATTTTCAGAAAACATGACTAAATTATAAATTTTCCACTGGTATTTTTTAAGTATGTAAGAAAAATTTTTCAGTGATTATAGTCGCAAAGGACTTCTCTTTTCCGTTGGTTTTTCAACTGTTGTACTAGAGCAAATTTTTCGATGAAAAAGTGCACAAAAGTAACAGTGTAAAAACTGTTGTGAAATTGCAATTTTGAACTGTTACTATTGCTACCTGGGTTGCTACTTTTCTCGATTCTTTTTCATAGAGGAAGAGCGAGATGTACCTGGGGCTCGGGTTGGCTCACAAAATACATAAGTCTCTAAGCAAGCAGTAGCGAGGCGTGAATTATCGATTATCGATATGCCCCCATATGAAGCTATGGTAAAGAATCGATTATTAAGGCGTTCGTCTGTTGGTTGCGAACACCCTGTCAATCGATCCTTTTTCATAGGTTTAAAGGGCAGATCAATCAATACATTATCGCTAAGTACACCACGCCACTGCTAGGGAGGGGGTAGTCTGCGCTTGCGCTACGGGTGCATTTGAGAGAAAATGTCAAGAAAACTTGTTTAAGAGAAACCGATTTTATTAAAATTACACCGATTTAATATTTAAACTAAATACATGTAAATTTATATTTTTTTCTCAATTAAATGTTTGTTTAATCAAACTTTTTCGAGGGAAACAGGTCTTGTTAACACTTGCAAGTCGTGAACAGGGAGTATAGTGCCTAGTGAAGAAGGTCAGCTCAAAATAACTGAAATTAAGAAAGAAAAATAATAAAATCAACTGCATTATGGAGATGGAAAATAACCAACCGGTGAAAGTACGTAAATTTTAAAATAGGAAGAGTGGAACCGTATCCATGTCTTTTCGCCCCTGCAATGCTCCTCATATCTTAACACCACTTTTCCTGCAGATTCATCGTCCTCTCAAGATCACGCTGTAAAGTAACCAGATTCTTTCCGTTCTGGAGCAGACTTTAATAAAGTTTCTGGGTAGTATCAACTAGCTTGAAGTCTTTTGCAGGACATTCTACTTTTACCTTAAAGCAATAAAAAGGGCGTGCTTCGCGTCATCGGTAACTCATTTCTTCCCTGAACCAAAGGAGTCGTGGCCGGTGAGCACTTCTATCATGTGATAATTCACTTGTCAGACCCTCTTCACCGTCCATTTGGGCGAGTTGGAAAACAGCTTTCTTACGTCCAATCTACTTTTTTGCTCTGTGCTAACCATCGGTTTTGCTCCTCCATTAATGACCTCTGATTTTCCTCGGTGACGGAACTCCNGTTTTTCAACTGTTGTACTAGAGCAAATTTTTCGATGAAAAAGTGCACAAAAGTAACAGTGTAAAAACTGTTGTGAAATTGCAATTTTGAACTGTTACTATTGCTACCTGGGTTGCTACTTTTCTCGATTCTTTTTCATAGAGGAAGAGCGAGATGTACCTGGGGCTCGGGTTGGCTCACAAAATACATAAGTCTCTAAGCAAGCAGTAGCGAGGCGTGAATTATCTATTATCGATATGCCCCCATTTGAAGCTATGGTAAAGAATCGATTATTAAGGCGTTCGTTTGTTGGTTGCGAACACCCTGTTTATCGATCCTTTTTCATAGGTTTAAAGGGCAGATCAATCAATACATTATCGCTAAGTACACCACGCTACTGCTAGGGAGGGGGTAGTCTGCGCTTGCGCTACGGATGCATTTGAGAGAAAATGTCAAGAAAACTTGTTTAAGAGAAACCGATTTTATTAAAATTTCACCGATTTAATATTTAAACTAAATAAATGTAAATTTTTATTTTTACTCAATTAAATGTTTGTTTAATCAAACTTTTTCGAGGGAAACAGGTCTTGTTAACACTTCCGAGTCGCGAGCAGGGAGGATAGTGCCTAGTGAAGAAGGTCAGCTCAAAATAACTGAAATTAAGAAAGAAAAATAATAAAATCAACTGCATTATGGAGATGGAAAATAACCAACCGGTGAAAGTACGTAAATTTTAAAATAGGAAGAGTGGAACCGTATCCATGTCTTTTCGCCCCTGCAATGCTCCTCATATCTTAACACCACTTTTCCTGCAGATTCATCGTCCTCTCAAGATCACGCTGTAAAGTAACCAGATTCTTTCCGTTCTGGAGCAGACTTCAATAAAGTTCCTGGGTAGTATCAACTAGCTTGAAGTCTTTTGCAGGACATTCTACTTTTACCTTAAAGCAATAAAAAGGGCGTGCTTCGCGTCATCGGTAACTCATTTCTTCCCTGAACCAAAGGAGTCGTGGCCGGTGAGCACTTCTATCATGTGATAATTCACTTGTCAGACCCTCTTCACCGTCCATTTGGGCGAGTTGGAAAACAGCTTTCTTACGTCCAATCTACTTTTTTGCTCTGTGCTAACCATCGGTTTTGCTCCTCCATTAATGACCTCTGATTTTCCTCGGTGACGGAACTCCTGCAAAGTTGTCTCACCTCATTTTCCCCTTTCAATTCATGGATTTTAGTTCAGCACCAACATCTTATTATGATAGTTTAGTATATCATTCC